TAATAATATTTTAATGATCGATGAACTAATACTAAAATTACCCGATTTTCGAAACAAGGAGAATATCAAAATTCGAAAGCACATTACATTAGTTGGCAAAGAATCCAGATGAGGAAGTTAGCCATTCCTCGTAAAATATCTCTTAATCTTCGCATTTTCCCGCTTACGCAGGGTCTGCTTACGAGTCAACTTTCGTCAACATTCTCGATTTAAGGCATGATGTTCTTCTATCCTAAGCTCTTTCAGGTCAGCTCTGATTCTGTCTGTCCACCTCATCTTTGGTCTCCCCGGTGGTCCTTTTCCAGCGACCTCCAGAGGCATGGCCATTCTTGTGATGTGGTTCTCATCTCTTCTACTCATAGTACCATAGCAGTCGTTTTTCCTGTTTTTTTAAACGATGGGAGCAACTTTTATCCTTGCACGAACTGTGCCATTACATGATCTAACAGGGTACTACCCAATGTCAACCGCATCATTCTTGTCTCCATGACACTAAGCTTGCGTTCTTCATTTCGCGTACTGGGCCAACATCTGCCATACAGCGCTGTGGGACGAATCACAGCACGGTATATTTGGGATTTGAGTTGCACTGGTATTCGCTTGTCGCATAGAACTCCTGTGAAGGTCCTCCATTTCATCCAGGATGCATTTGTCCTGGCAGATATTTCATCTTGAAGACCTCTTTCGCCAGAGATGCTACTTCCTAGGTACTTGAAGGTACGCGTTTTCTTGATTGGCTTCCGATGTATATGGTTCCTGAAGTTTGACCTCCCACTTTCATGAATTCTGTCTTCTTTGTGTTAAGCTTCAAGCCGTACGACCCTAACTGGTCCTTCCAGCTCTGTGCTTCTTCTTCAAGTTCTTTGTTTTCTGCCATCAACACCATATCGTCTGCATACAGGAGAGGCCATGGAGGCTGTCGCTTGATGCCTTCCGTCACTGCATCCATTACTGTGATGATGAGTAGAGGAGAGAGCACCGATCCCTGATGCTGCCGTTCTTTATGCGGAATGGTGTTGACTGTCCCGCCGCGGTATGCACTTGGCTCGTGGCTCTGTGATAAATCATTTTTATCCATTGGATGTATACTTCTGGAGCCATGTGCTTTCGCAGTGCCCACCATATGACATCATGGGGTACCTTGTCGATAGCTTTCTCCATAACAAGGAAAGTCGCATGCAGCTCTCTTCATTTTTCTCTATACTTCTCCATCACTATCCGTACAGTATGGATGGCAGCAGTGTCGGCACCCTTTACAAATCCGCAGTGATTAGATAGCATCTCTATGATCGCTCGAAGTCGTTTCAAGTACTTTTGCGAAGATCTTCAGAGTGTGGCTCATCAGCCGGATTGGCCGATACGTTGAACAATCTGCGATATCGCCTTT